TAGTTTAGTTTAGGTTTCCTCCTGTAGTAACACTGGATCAATAAGAGATGATCCTTACTGGACCTCTAGGAAGAACAGTTTAGAACTGATAGAGCTAATGAAGTTAGTTTAGCTTAGGTTTCCTCCTGTAGTAACACTGGATCAGTAAGAGATGAGCTCAGATGACCCTTACTGGACCTCCATAGGAAGAACAGTTTAGAACTGATAGAGCTATCCAGTGTCAATAAAGTTAGTTGAAACCTACCTTCAGGGTATATGACTTTGCCATTACAAAATGATCCAAATCAATAGCACTAGCCATAACACCACATAGTACACTCTCAGCAAAACCCCGATTATTCAATCCTGCTACAGCTAGCCAGCTCAAAAACGCTATTGTTCCATGCCCGCTATTGTCAATTAGCGCACGTAAAATATCACTGCTATTAATCCACGATATCTTTAGGGCTTCGTCAAAAAATATACACAAAATTGGCAGCAAAACATAGGGTAAACTGTCCGAAATTTTAAAAGGAAAATTCATCGCTCCTGAGTTGTGTTTTACAAAAGAAGAATAATAATTAGTTTTGACATTATCTCACTGTACTTCATGTAAAGGTAAGTATAGTCCAAAACCAAGGTTAGATGCGATATTTAGTTACGGAGGGTGCAGTGTCGAGGAATACTGTATTTAGCACTATTTATTGATAAGGCGTTTGGGCCTACCGAAATGGTATTGGCTAGCATCTTTGGTACATTAAAGTAAGCACAGTCATAGCCTATCGAAGGGAAGATGGCTGTGAAACTCATTAGAATAACAATATAACTCATTATCTATGTTGGTCAACGTTTATTCATAAATCTGGTCCTTCACCGTCACGTGTGTATTGTATTTTTGCCAAATCCACCAATAGCAATTTCCAATTTATCCTATTGTTCGAGTCACGGATAGGTAACTTTCCTAAAACATTGCTATTGGTTTGTTGAGCAAGAATACAATACACATGTGACGGTGAAGGACCAGATTTATGAATAAACGTTGACCAACATAGATGAGTTATATTGTTATTCTGATGAGTTTCACAGCCATCTTCCCTTCGATAGGCTATGGATAATGCAAGCATTGAATGAAACAAAAGCAATCAATCATACATGTGTTTGGGTAGCGCACGCGCAGAAATGCGTGTCAGTTGATGAGATGTACTTTTAACCGTAGAAATATAACATTCAATTCTTCGTGATCATACAAATATACATGAGGATGTTCTCACTCGTTTAGTTGATGTTAAAATGGCAAATTATTTCTGGTACTTCATTGTGACAGCATGACAGATTCTCTTATAAAGCTCCAGAAGCAATAATGCTATTCACATCTTTCTGAATTCCACTAAAACTGCCCAGAATTTATATCAGAAAACAGCGGCTCGAGAACGATTAAACTGCTTGAAAAATAGAAATAAAACGTGTAATTTTCAGACAGTTGAATCGCTCTCAAGATCAGTAGTTTCCTGGTGTTATTCTCACTACCTACGCTGGGACACAACGTTCAAAATTTATGTACAGACCCTTTGTCCAAACCATTCATGCCAATATTTACACGTTTGGGCAGTTGGGTCATGGGCAGTAAAGGTATACAACTGCTTTTCCCAGGGACGTGCTGGCTAGGGACGAGCCCACGGTTTAAAATTTTTTAACAACACCACCCCCACCACCACCCCCCAAAGATTAATTAGCGACTGAAATGTTTCATCTTTGATCAGTAATATCCCCCACCCCAATCTTGATCTATCTGTCACTGGGCCTGGATCGTTGTTCATGCGTCGTCCTTTTCAAGACCCCAGCACGTCCCTGATTTTTCCCAGAGCAGCACCAAGGTACAAGGTTTGATGGCAAGCACCGCATTTTATCGACTTATCTCAATGTTCCAGACTTCTTCAATTTCTCTACAACACTATCGTTGATCGTCACACTGCAGGATAAAGCGATGTCGAAGCAGTTCCTCTGACGACCATCTCTTGTCCGGGTCTCTAAAATAACAACATAGTCCTTGCTTTAGGCAAATAATATCAACGTGTTAGAGGTAGATTGGTTAGAGCATATGTCTTATTCCTCTTTTATCTCTATGGCTGAGGTTTGATTCCTGCAATAAACAGCTGTCTACAGTAGACGCTATAATTCCTCTCAGTTACATGTGAGAAGAGTGCTTCCAGTTTGACTCTACCAAACACAGCAGGTTTTCTCAAGGTACACCAGTTTCCTCCTGTAGTAACACTGGATCAATAAGAGATGATTCTTACTGGACCTCTAGGAAGAACAGTTTAGAACTGATAGAGCTATCTAGTATAAATAAAGTTAGTTTAGTTTAGGTTTCCTCCTGTAGTAACACTGGATCAATAAG